ACCAGACATTCGTGATCGTTAGATCGCCCAGATTCAATCTGGAACATTGGGCTCATATTTTCATATGACCTAATGGGCTAATCCCATTTGTTTTATATATATATATATAATAAAAGTCTTCACAACGCCTATAGGCAAAAATAAATAATGATTTCGCTTACTCTCATCACCGTCCATGATCACGATCGTCCGATAGTATTTCTATTTTTTTTCTTTTTTTTTCTACAAATCTGAATGACCTGAAATTTATAACATATGTAGATCTTAGTAAGGCTTACCTAATAAAAATATTAAAAAAATAATTCGTAAAAAATATTAACCAAGATACCCCCAAAAATTTTGGAGGGTATTTTGATCAATTTTTTCATATAAAATATTTTTTTTATATTTTTAATAGATTTAAATATTTTTTATGAATACAAGATCCAAATTTCAGATCATTCTGATTTGTAAAAATTAAAACACTACCGGACAATCGTGACCATACGATGAACTTTGGACGATGATGAAAGTAAGCGAAATCACTGATCATTTTCGCCTATAGACGTTTTGTAGTATATATATTGACTTTGTTCGTTGGGTCTATAGGAATTATTTCGGTCAAGGATTAATGGACTTTGACGCTCCATCAATATCAATGGACCTTTTTCATGAGGATATGAATCCTTTGGCAAATTGATATGAATTTGCACAAAATGCAATTTACTCAGTTAGTATAGCTACGATCAGGCCCCTATGACCGCTATCAAAGAGAAGCTTTTGGCTATAGACAAAAATAAAAAAGTCTGCTTACTCCGCTGGATAAGCTTTTCGCTTGGCTATAGACAACGAGTCAGCTTATAACGACGACGGTCCCTATCTGATCGTGCGGGTCCCTTCCCCCCACTTCTTCAATTCAAGCTTTCATTCCTCAATCAACTTCTTCGCTCCTTCATATACCTCCCCACCAACAGATAGACGCAAATGTGAATAACCGAACCACGACTACAAAGTACCCCTCCAAACCGAACAATTGTTGTTGTTGTACTTACAAAACCGTACTGGCAGCTATTGCTGCTTGCTGCAAGAGCCAGTGTTGTACTAGTGACTGTACTACAGAGTTGGACTGCACCTTATGGTTGAGCAAGCATATGATCAGATCAATCAAGATATGGGTTCAGAATGCGTGGAAGTGTCGATATAATTTCATAGTCATTTGTTTTGAGTGCTACATAAAAAACATAAGTCAGAAGATGGAAGGGGAAGATCTAGGATATAAAAAATCGTAGGATGAGTGATTCAGCAAATTTGGATTCCTATATATCTACTCATGTGGTACTTTATTATACGATTCATATAAGATCCTCGTGCCTAGATACCATCACATACATGCTATACGATAACGCTACCTTGACCTAATGATATTCTTTACTATACGTGAACACTTATTCACTAGTAAGTAAATAGGCTCGAACTTAGTCTAAAGGTGAACCCTCGTGCTACCATGGTAGTAAGAAAACTACTGTAGACCTTCGCTCACCATGAATTATGGGATACTGGTCTACCGATCATGATGATGACCTTGATGTGGAGCTGCTAACTATGACAAATGTGCTAACGATGAATGTACTAACTACGTATATGACGCCGAAAATGGACCGGTTTGATATCACCCCTCAATTAAAATTAGCAAAAGCAAGGTCTCCTTGTATAATATGGATTCCAAATACTAATAATTTGTATGTGAATGAGCCGAATTACTTATCCCTCGGTCTATTAGTGAACCATCTCTCCATAGGTAAAATATGGGATTAGCCCACTAGCTCATGTGAACATGTGAGCCCAATGGCCTAGATTGAATCTGGATCGATCTAATGGTCACAGATGTCTGTCAGTGTTTGAATTTTAATTTTTTTTTTCAATAAATCCAAATCACTTAAAATTTTAAGCGTGTGTCCATAAAAAATAGGTGAATCTTCAAAAAATATCAAAAAAAATACTTTACATTAAATAAATTGACTAAAATACCACCGAAAAGTGTCGAAGAGTATTTTGGTCATTATATTTTTCACAAATAAATTTTTTTTATATATTTTTATTAAGTGCAGCTTGATGAGAAAAATACACACCTAAAATTTCAAGTGATTTGAATTTAGAGAAAAAAAATTAAAATTTAAACACTGACAGACATCCGTGACTGTCAGATCGGCCCATATTCAATCTGGACCATTGGACTCATATATTCATATGAACTAGTGAAATAATCCCAACTTTTTCCATATATATATATATATATATATATATAATGGCGATATAAGAAGTGTCGAACAATGTTAAAAACTATCCAACCAAAAGGAAGAAGGTTACAAGTTTGCATTGGGTCATTAAACATTGGATGCAATAGGGTTATTTCTCGATATTTACTACTGATTTTCAAGTTAAAAACTGGTAGCGAGAACCATGCGAGATTTACATTCAAAGAGGAACTGATGGCTGGTGAATAGTGAATCAGTTCGTATCCATATTTGTTAATTGGTGCACATAAAGGGACCGTCTATCAATCAAATATCAGTATCTTGGGGTCTGGATTATTGGTGACAAAATTTGCTTGATGCGAAAGCATTTTGTGGCGTCGCCTAAAGCCATACCAAACTTCCAAGAAAAATTAGTTCGTACTGAAAAATCAGCAAACCGATGATCATCTCAACTTTGACAAATCATAAATATAGACAAAATAGATTTCAAGCACTAGAAATGATCACTTAGAATGCATTTTCTGAACTGTTCATTTCTAAGTGTTTAGACATTAAATCTCACTTTTTGGAACCTCAAATTCTTTAAGGCGGGGCAAAAATAGGTTTTTAGACCACCACAAGGATATTAAACTCCAAAACTGAATTTTTCTGCAGGTTTTGAAGGAAGATTCCCCAAAGTAACACAAAATTGCAACCCGAAAAACCATAACTTGAGAGAGAACTCACTTGTGGATGCTGCAGGAATTTGCCTATATTTCCTAACAAATGAGGAACAATATGAGAGGATTGAATTAAAACAAGTCGAGTCTAGATCCAAACCTTCATCTAGAAGGGGGTTCTAGAGATGTACATCAGATATGTCCAGTTTGAACCTGAATAAACACGGACAAAGTAACGTGAATGTACCAACTCATTCACCATAAGCTACATAGATTAATGTAATATGTTGCACCCAAATTCTGCCAACACTTTTACATAGAGAGAGAAAATATAACAATGGGTTAATCAAGTCCAAGTTTCCCCAAAGTACACGAGGGTTAGATGGCATTACCCTTAAAAGTACCCACTGGATGATTTTATGGAATAAACTGATCACCATTAAATTAAGAACATTGTTTCATTGAAATCCATGTACAGAGCAATGTGGTTTTGCCACCAATGATACTGAAGGTTTCTCATTTTATACTAGAAGGAAACAAATCATGAAAAAAATAAATAGTCAAGAATTGTTGGCTTTGCATCAGATGGTGCCCTTGAGGGCAACGAGGACCAGCCTGACTAATTCATGACCTGAAAAGCCACTGTCAAAACTCCTAAAGACAAGCTCAGCATGATATTGTACAGTCTACATATGAATTACATGGCCATTCAAAGGGGCCCACATTTGTTATTTCCACTCCCATGCATTATGCCATGGCACCCCATAGTCCCTGTTAATCACACATATGGGGCTCTTAAAGAAATGAGAGCTCAAGAGGCACCAGAATAGAGATATATATAGAAAAGCAAAAGGAAACAAAAGTATGAGGACCTGAAAGACCAAAATGAATGTTTTTACAGAGGCAGAAGCATGTTTGAGCAGAACCAAATACTCTAGATTGAGATTAAAACTTAAACGCATTTCTGGAACAAGCTCAAAGGCTAATTGCAGGCTCTATGCGGATTTCGGACATGGCCTGCTCGAATCTGAGGAAAATGGTGGCCAGAAAGAGGATCAAACCCTTCATTGGCCTGCAGGGGACTCACTCTCCCCCTCTCTCTCTCAAACCGAAGGAACAGCAGCTCCCCTTCATAACCTCTTTTCCTTCAAATATCTGCTTGTAATGTACAAACCAAGATTCAAAAACAAGAGGGAAATAATTATGGCCCATTATCGGACTGAATAAGGTTCCGAAGCTTGTGTTCCAGAAGGTGGCTCTGAGGAGAGGGCCTCAGGCTTCCCATCACTGAATTTGGGCATGCCCGAACCCGTTATCTTTGACACATTCACAAAACCATCAGTTAGAGAGGAGGAATTCACTTGGTTTGTTAAGGGTGAGGGCTCCTCTTCACTTGCTTCTCTAAGATTAAAACTGTTATTGGCAGAGCAGTTAGAACATCGACTTGGGGCCACTGGTTCCTTCTGTCCCTCAGCCACATCATGACTTCCATTCAAGTTTTGATGATAAGCCTTCTTTCTGAGTAGCTGATCAGGACCGCAATTTGAACATGCAGCATCTCCACCTCGAGAAGGGATAGTGTCATTCAGGGTTTTATCATCTCGAGATGGGATTATCTCATTTTGAGTTTTCTTGGTTCGGTGTTTCTTGGTAGGTAGCTCTTGATCAATGTGGTCTATAACCTCCATTTTACGTTTGGACGTAGGCGAGTCTGGTGGCATGTCATGGGGAGTGGAAACTTCTTTTTGGCCATCTTCATCTTCTTCTTCGTCATCTTCATAGTCTACTAGACCAACAGATCCCTCCCTACAAATTTAAACAAAAAGGAAAAGAAATCTATTTGTGTACTTCATAAAAAAAAATTTCAAATCAACTGCATAAGGAAGAGAATGCCATTTCATTCGAGGAAGTTAACATACTTCAATAGCCAATGGAGAACCACCATTCCTTGGCACATGGTACATCATAATCCATTAGGCAATAAAATACCATATTGCATTGGGGTCACCACAGCTCAGAGAAACGATTGGATAGTGCGGGGAGAATATGGGACCCAACACAACAGAACATTGGTCCCATTTTCATACGATGGTGATGACCCTGAACCCAAGACACCATGGTTTTCTACAATCCATTGGATACCGTACTTTCCTTCCTTTCCATGTTTGAACCAAAACAAGAAACCTCCTTTTTTCACAAAATAACAGGAGGAACCAAGAACATATGTTTTCTTTGTGATTGAAAATTTGGAATCCTATATTTGAAAAAAAAAATTCTACACAAATGAAAATAACATCTAATTGAAGACACCCATGGCTGAGTTCAAGACATACCTGAAAGATGAGTAGTTAGTACTATCTCCATTGATCAAAACTGATGCTGCCGGCTGGTTACATGAATTTGAGATGCGAGCTGATGTGGAATCTTCTTCATCGCTGACAAAAAAACCAGATAAAAAGATAATTGGTATCATATAAGAGAATATACCTTCCGAAGTTAATAAAAAGACAGTAAACAACAAAAAAAGTAGAGAATATACCTATCCTCATTGAAGTAATCCTCCTCTTCCTTTTCAAGGGCACGCTCATCAATCCGTTTCCTAGGGTCACCAATGCTACTTCTAGGGTTCTTTGGTTGACAGCTCTCCATAGACTAATTCAGAGAACAGAGAAAGTGAGAAACAATTGTGCTTCTGACGTGAGCCAAAAAAAATTTATAGATGAATTTTCTTCTGAATCACAAATCAGTACAATGCTCGTTAATCAGGTCACACTTTATTTAAATTTTCCACTATTAAATGTCTATACATTCTATAATTGTTCTCCCATGTCATATGTCAACTCTTTTTGTACTTTGCTTCTGATTGGGGGCCCTTTCTTCCAAGGTTGTGAATTGAATATTGCTGCTTTGGAATGGCCTTTAGTATACCTATCATCTTCATTATGTTCTTCACTTATTCTTACCTTGCCCCTTTTTTTTCCTGAAACTATTATCTGTTATTCTTAGCTTATCCTTTCTAGTTCCATTTTTGTTATCTCTGATTTTGCTCACCAAACAAAACTTGCACATATTTTCCAGAGACAGAACATGTGGGGAAAGTGCAGCAAAAAATATGCTTCACAAATTTTAGGGAAAAGTATAGTTTTAAAGACATGCCAATTACGATAAGCATTTCCACTGATAAACAAGTTCTCTTTTGGTATTATGACCATTTACATGGAAAGAAAGATCTCACCTGTTCGTACTTAAGTTTCAGAGCACGAAATGTATCTAAATGTTCGAACTTCTCCAACTGGTCCCAGAAGCATTCAACTGAGTATAAAATCAAAGATTTAAGATTTTCCTGCACAAAACAAAGATAACTATGGGAACAAATTTTTGGGTGCCAAATAAAAGAATACCGAGGGAAAAAAAATAGTCCAAAGGACATTCTGAACTGAATATATCACAGAAAGATACCAGATATAGGGATAAAGAGAGAGAAACCTTGCGAATATATTCAAAAAGTTCGAGAACTGCAGAGTGCAGCAGATTATAGCGATTTCCATTTGCAACAAAAACCTCTACAACTGGTTTCAGGAGGTTGTGCTTCACAATATGGCGGAGGAGAAACTCATCCTGCAAATTCTGAAGTTCAGGACAATCATGTAGTCCCATGCCATTATTCAAAAGCTGAAACTGAAACAGATGTACTAAACAAAAATTATGAATCAAGAAAGATCCAATTAAAAACAAAATCATATATCAATAAAAGAACGACATATTTCTCTGGAGAATTATAATGCATATAACTTTCCCGAAATGCAGGACCTCAAAAAAAAAGAGTAGCAACTGATATTCAAAGCAATCCCTCCCATTTGACAGTGAAAGTTATTAGAGGTACATTCAACAGAGATAATTTCCATACAGCATTCAGGTACTCATCTGGCTCCCTAAAACTTAATTTTGCATTTCCATCACTGCACAATTTGATGGCTTTGACTCAACATCATCATCACAAAAAAGGAATAAATAGATCATTACCACCATACTATGTCAATGTTCAAAATTGCAGATTCCACAGCTAGTTCCTTCGATGGCCCGAATAGAGACCAGAGGGATTCGCACTTGGGGGTTTTTGCTAGATACCGAACACCCCTAATTGTACTTACAGAAAAAAAAAAGATCCTTTGTGTGCGTTATTATATTGTACTATTTTAAACTCATACGTGAGATTGAAATTCGAAATCGAGTGATTGGAAACCCATGCAATGTTGACTGGAATCGGTGAGCTTTGGTTGCCGAAACACCCCCACCCCTACAAGTCTCGCAAAATATTGGATTCCGTACTCTTAAATTTTACAAAATCAAAAAGTTCAAATTCACCCCAACCACCCCACCAACCCAACCCCCCTTCCCCAAACAAAACAAAAAAAGTTCAGGATATCTCAAAAAATTTGTTTTTAATCTTCTTTCTCTCCCTTAAAGCAGGGGCTCTATATTTTATTTTCATTTTTTGGGTGGGGGAGGAAGGGAGGGCCCCCAAAAAACCTACTCCCCTCATTTTGAGGAAAAATGGCAGAAAATGCCCCCGTCAAAGGGCTGTTTTCCACCCTTGGCTGGGGAATAAGGGGGCCTGGCCTGTGCCAAAGCATGGGTCTAGGTACTGCCATAGACCAAAAGGCGGGCGCCTTTGGTTTTGCTGCCGTGGGCACCCGCCTATACCCCTAGGCGGTGTACCTAAGGCTCTCGGCTGATAGGAGGCCTGCCTAATCGGAGAAGTGGCCAACTTTTTGATCATTGTTCTTCGTAAGTGTCAACAGAAAGCAGCTACCTCGCACTGAACAGATGTTTTTTTTAATAAATGTGGGACCTCAATTCAAATCCAGACTGCAATGTCCAGCAGCTACAAAGGTCCAAAGGCACCCTAGCAACCACTGGAAAATAAAATGGGGGAAAAAGGCTTCTTGCAGCTGTAATGTTTCGGCCAATAGGAGGCCTGCCTAATCAGAGAGGTGGCCAACCTTTTGATCATTGTTCTTCGTAAGTGTCAACAAAAAGCAGCTACCTCGCACTGAACAGATGTTTTTTTTAATAAATGTGGCTCCTCAATTCAAATCCAGACTGCAATGTCCAGCCAGCTACAAAGGTCCAAAGGCACCCAAGCAACCACTGGAAAATAAAATGGGGAAAAAAGGCTTCTTGCAGCTGTCATGTTTCAGGCATATATAATATTTTGGATTAATTTCTTCTTTTGCTTAAGTCAGCTATATCAGCAGCAGTTAAAAAGACAACTGGTTTTCATTCAGGGAAGTCTCTTTCCTTCTTTAGAGAAGTATCATTACTTTCCTTATTCTGTTCTTAATTCTAATTTTTTGTTTATCTTAAATAAATTTCCTAATACTAAAATAATAATATAAAAAATGGAAGCCCTATTACCAGAAGATCAATGTTTACTCACGAAGATCAATGTTTACTCAGATGATCTATGGGGGTTTGATACAAATCACTTTTCCAAAAAAAAAAAAGAAAGAAAGAAAGAAATCTCCATGTGTTCAACTCTTCAACTTGGAGATTAAGGATTGAATCACTTCATCTTAGCTTTGGATGTTAGGTAAGGGACTATAGCCCTAGTCCAGAAGTGCGACTCACTAAAAAGTTCTATTTTCCAAGTAATCTTTCTTGGAAATGGGCCTCCAATATGGTCCCTATCATTGAAGGAGAGAACCTAAACCACTGTTTGGTGCCTTTGTAGATACTCCCACACATAAAAAAGCAAAGGCGTGCAAAACACAAATCTATGTTCAAAAGAATAATAAAATAAATGGATTAGAAGGTGTTAGCCAAATGCCAACACTGTTCACATCCTAAGCTTTGAGTGAAAGGACACAGTGCCACTGCATAACTAACATTAAACATGTTAGTGACACTTATATAAGAGCCCATGTAAGTTGGGCATCCAAATGTCTTGTGCAGGAAAGATGGAAAACGCTTATCACAAGGATAATCTCAAAAACAAAACATAGCATTTAGTATCCATTAAAGTGTCATGCTACTACTCCCAACATCCATTGATTTCAAGGACAATTAAAGAGAACATTGTTTTTAACATTTTAAACAAAAGTGCCTCTGCTAAAAAGGCAAAGTAATAATGGTCCTGGTTTTCTCATTTCAGACAAGAAGCAAAAGAAACGTATCACTAAGATATACTTGATAAGGCTAAAGGCTATAATATTATATAATATGAGTACATCCATCTTGAATAAAGGAAGTGACATCTCACATTGCGAGAAATAATTGTACGAAGAAAGCGAACGGCAGCAACCACAAGATACTTTTCCTTCCTGCGAGTAAGGTACAGGACCTTTTCTATTACATTATTGTGAAGAAAGTTGCACCTGCAAAAGGTTAATGTCATGTTTGCAATGTCAACTACAAAAGCCATAAGAACATGATGAATAATCACTGAAGAACATGAACTTAAATCTGAAATATACTTTATCCTGTAGGGATGGTGGAGGACACAAAAACAGAGCAGTTCACAGATGTTTGACAAGATATCAGGCTTAGTCACAGACTGAGGTCCAACTCTTCCAACAAGACCAGTTGATTTAACATTAGTTCGAACACTCCCCTTACAGCAGCAGGATGATGCAACAACATCAATTAACTGATCCATGTACTTGTCGTAAAAAATTTCCACAATTGTGTCCCTCTGCAACCAAATGAAAGCCTCATCACAACATTTGAGAGTGACAATTCTAAAAAATTGGAACCAAAACATAGAAAGAAGATAGCCACTAAAAGCATAAATCATAAAATAGAATCCGATCTAGTGAGACTAAGGTCCAAGTGAAAAAGCAGTGTTCTGCGACGCGCCTGAGTCAACTCGGACTCTGGCGAGTTACTCAGACTAGCAAGGCCAAGTATGCTGTACACTCTTACCTACTCAAATCCTAACAGTACCAAAATGGCTTCTGGCTAGCACAGATGGTTCTTACACCTCATGTTCATAGTTTGAATCTCCTTGGCTGCTACTCTATCCTTCCTTTTTATTAAAACAGTAAGTGGCCAAACAAGTCAAGCATATCCTATAGTTGCTACCACTCCAATGGCAGGAAGGATGACAGCAAATTTCAAATATGAACAGTCAACCTATACAATTTTTTCCATTAAAAAAAATGACAAAAGCAGTTATGAAGTTTGCTAATCGTGAGGCTGGTAATATACCAATCACATCCAAAACAAATTAATAAAATAAACTAGCTAGAGCAGAACAGACAATTTATGCAGCTAGATTAAAACCTACCCATGACATTACGCAATCGTGTGTAATAAATTGATTTATGTATTGCAGAGGATCTGAATGAAAATTGAAATTCTACCTCACTCAACTGAGACTCTAAACGAAGTCAATTTGGCAAGTCATCATGGAGCGATTTTGACCACCTAAAAACTTAATTAAATGTACAAAATCTAAAGAACCAGTAATTAGATAATCATAAAACCTAATTGAACAAATAAAATATAAAACATCAATATAAACACTGACAAAGTAGAAAAAAATACATGTCATTCATGAGAATGAAAAAGCCATGAAAATAAAATCAAACAAAATATAAAACAACCATAAGAAATAAACCATTGGTCATTCAATGAAGACACAACTCACAACAGAGCGCAACAGAGAAAGGGCCATCAAGTGAAGCCCCTGAAGTTTCAGGTAGAAATGTAAAGAAACAACGATCTACGGCATTGGCAAATAGAAATCGCAACAAAGAAGAACAAACACATATTATTCATGAGAAAGAGAAAATTTTATAAAAAAAAATTAGAAAGCAAATTAATCAGAAAATAAAAAATAATGAAAAAATATACAACTGGTAGTTGAACACGAAATGATGAATAAAAGGTCCCTAGCAACTCACAAGAAGAACAGAGTGAAAGTCAAACAGAAAAATGCGCCCTTACTATATTAAAGGGCATTATCTAAATGTAGAAACCACATGAATTAAAGCGATAAAAAGGATTTACAAGGGCTCTGTAGTCCACGACATAGTTTGCTATCGGTCTAGGACAATTCTAACATTTCTAGGAAGTCTAGCCATTATGCAATATAATGACCAGAACAACCCTTCATTATTAAGCACTTAGTAAAGTGAAGGTCTGAATTGCTGACCTGCGGATATGTCGGACTTAAGAGAAAATAAGTAACCCCCACGTTGAGGAGCAAACCGGAAGACATCATTATGGAATTTCCTTTTAAGACTAGAATTATAGAAACTTGTACATAGGATGCCATTCCCTTATCCAAGACCCACTCCCCAATCACTGCCAACTCTAATCCTAAACATTGATGTTTCCACACTCTAAATTCTATTATGTTCTACAACTCCCACTCCACGCATACATAATCAGAACAACATAAATTTTTTTAGCATCATCACCATGATTGTGGAGTGGGAAGAAGTATAGAGAACTAGGAAATGTCGGCCCTACCATCAAGAGTGACTTTATAGAAGTTCTCATATCATCTGAAGCTTCTCATGTAATGTTTTAGTTCCAAAGGTGACAGAAGCTCCATAAGCTGATCAGATGAATAAGAAGTATGACTCTGAATGATTAGCGCAGGTATGAAAGAAGGGCACAATAGAACAGAACCAGGCCAAATCCATTTGTTTATGGTAACAGTAACGGCCATCATCTCAGGGCAGTTGCCACTGACTAAAAGGGACAAAAAGAAGTAAGAAAACAGAAGAAAAAGTTAAAATAAATAAGAAAGGAAAAATCATTAACAAATTTGGGAGAGAGCTACAGGGAGAAATTTTGTAAAATTCATTATTTTATTTCTGTAAAGAAACCATTAATTAGAAAATATTGCCCAATATTTACCTTTATTATCACTACTTACTAAAATTGGAAACCTGATATCACGGCTGTTGACTACGCCCATTAATTACTGCAAAGACCCTTTTTCTAATCCCACACCCACAAGTGCTGCAGGTAGGAGCTGTAGCATTATAAAGGATGTTAGTTCCATTAGAACTACAACAGCACCATGTGATTAGCAATAAGTTAAAGCAAAGTCTGTACAGTTGAAACTGCAGTTTTCACAGCTGAAGAAGATATCCATGACATCAGGTCCATCAATTACAAATAAGTAGGCAACTCTCCCGAAACATGGCATGAAACCCAGTCTTGAGCATCACAGTACCCAGAAAAATGTTACACCAAACAAACGACCAGTCTGTATGACAAGTACTATCTACAACCTGTTATAAAGTTTGTGCTCTCAAAAAAACTGTTATAAGGCTTCCATATCCCAAGGACAGTGCCTTAGACCCAGGAAGTGGAATTCATGAGATCAATATGATACTTATGGTTATTCATTTGTTCAATACAAGAATGCGAACTTAAGCACTGAAAAACAATAGAGAAATAAAAGCATCCAAGGCAAGCTTTAACAAAGAAGTATATTGACCTCAGTAAAACAGAAGGAAGGATAGTTTTATTGCACCTGAGATCCCGACATTGTGTACGAGTCCAACAAAATGCGAATAATTTCAAGAAACTGGCAATGCATGTCCTCGCCGAAGTCTGTTATCATACCTTTAACCTGCATTCAGTACCTTGTCTGATTAACACATCCCTTAACTGAGATACTAAATAAAAATCAAAATATATCATGCATCTACATAACCAAAAGTTCATTAATGATGCCAGTATAAGAAGGTAGGCATCTTAAACAATCTCATCAACCCTTGGACAAACTGATTTCATGACACTAGTGAAGTTGACTTCGACATATATTATATAGCACTCTAATTTTTTCGATATCGCATACCAGGAGTCCAAGAAGGGTGTGGCCTTCCTGCTGAATGATATATGCCCGGAGAAGATTTGGATCTTGGTTTAGAACGATGATTAGAATATCCGTCCTGAAAATCCAGTTGGCACCCATTGCACTAAACTTAGGAAAGAGCTTATTACATGCAGCTATGAGCAATTGAAGAAAAAACAAGTATAAAAAGTATTGCACATCCTCTACAGAATTCATGATCTATTTACCCAGTCAACACTAGTGCCTTATCTTCGCTCTGAAGAATGTCTGTGATGATATCAAAAAGACCTTCAGTCACCAGATCCCTGGAGAAAATATGTAACTTCAGAATGAGAGAGCATAAGGGAGTGAAGAAAATGGAAGGATCTCATGAAAAGAATGCCATACACCAAAGTAAACTTTACATGCTGTCATCAATTAACGCTACCGACAGTAGGCTTCAACGAGCAGTTCCCAAGTTAAAACAATAAAACCACAGACTGAACTCAAAAACAAAAGATCCACCAGCATCCATTTAATGATATAATATAATATTCACATACCTGAAAAGCCGCATTTGATGTACCAGTTGCAAACTCTTACTTAAACTACAAAACTCTTGCAAAAACAATACCTGCCCCAAAGAAATGAATTACAAGGTAAATATCACTACCACAAGAAATACACAAAGAAAAAAGATTAATCGCTATTATGAGTTATAAATAAGAAAATCCAGATTAAAATCAAAAGAATGAGCCATATACTGAAATCTGTAGCTATTCAAAGAATCTAAAAGACATCACCTATGATGTCTTTACAATGCTTCACTACCCACATAATTAACATCAATCCAAGAAGAAAATGCTCTGAACCATAACAAACAAAATAGGCCCAGTTAAAAAGAGAAAAAAGAAAGACACATCACAAGCATGTATCCTTAAAGTGGATGGAAGGACCACACAAGGAATAATGCAACCAGTTGCCATAAACCATTCAATATTATTCTATCTTTCCTGTGCAGGAAGAAATTGTTGACATCGGCTAGGATATAATCTAACATAAAAACTGTAACTTGAAGCGAAATAAGAGAGGAAGAGGATACAGCCACATTCTCAAGGCAACAGTGCCTAATATTGATTGTACAAATATACAACAACACATCCAGAGAACAACAAAATAGGGAACTCGAGATAGATGTCCCAATGAACTCTGCTGAATTCCTGGTCATAAATATCATGGACTCCCAACATCTGAAAATTAAGTATGAAGCGCTCAACCAGTTTAAGTAGCAGTAAATCAGACATCATTATGTGCCAGGAAGCATAGAGAAGAATAATGATAGACTCGTAATCCAAAAACCGCATATAAGTGACTTAGAGAAGCAATTCAAAATTAGCAGCACTTGAAAAACATAAAAACAACCCGGCACTGAGCAACTCATAAATGGGAGCAACATGTACATTACAGTTACGACATCAGATAATAGCCAACGGAGTAACCAAATAGCCATTAATGTGATTCAGCCACCAAGGCATCCGAGTGGCGGGTGCCCAAAAAACCTTGGCTAAGGATCCACGTGTGTGTGTGAGGCCTCGCATTGAACGGTTGGAGGTCGTCTTCTTCTTTTTCTTCTTATATGTAGAGAGAGAGGGCTCACACCGAACAGTTGGGAGTCATCTTCATCTTTTCCTTCTTATATATATACAGAGAGAGAGAGCATATGCTCACGTGCGTGTGAGAGAGGCCTCGCATCAAACACTTAAAGGTTGTCTTGTTTTCTACTTCTTCCTACATGCAGAAAAAGACTTGAGAGAGAGAGAGAGGGGCCTCGCATCAAACACTTCGAGGTCATCTTCTTCATTTTCTTCATCTTATACGTATTGATAGAATACAGGATCCATGTGTGGGTGTAAGAGAGAGGCCCTGCATCAAACGCCTGATGTTGTCTTCATTTTTTTCTTCTTATTATATGAAGAGAGTGCATAAGTGTTCGCAAGCGAGTAAGCGACGGGCCTCACATCAAACACAAGGAGGTTGGCTTCTTTTTCTTCTATGTGGAGAAAGAATATGGATCCGTATGTATGTGGAGCATAAGAGAAAGGCCCCGCATCGAATACTTGGAGTTTGTCTTCTTGTTTTTAATCTTTTTACATGTAGAGAAAAAGAGAGCATATGGGTATGTGTATGGGTGTGTGTGTGTGTGTGTGTGTGTGAGAGAGAGAGCGAGGGATGCATTGCATCGAACACTTAGAGAGCCCTTGGCCAAGGACCTTTTTCTAGCAAGGGTTCCATTCGGCAGCCTTTGGCATTGGGAGGCCTATGCAGGCTAAACATCTGAATAGGGCCCCCGCCTAGGGCCAATTTCGTTCAGATGGACCCCTAGCCTGCCTAGGACACCAAAAAGATGAATTTCGATTCACTGCTAATGATTTAGGAAGGAAAGCGAGATATTGAACCCACGTTTTTCCAACCCTCAAACAAGTAAAAATCGGCAATAATAGATAAAACACAGATATAAATTAAGCCAAGAGAAAAACTTTCTTCTTTCATAAAATAAAATTCATTTCAAAAACATAAGCATCCCATAATGAGATAAATATAAATCAAGCCATGAGAAGAACTTTCTTCTTTCATAAAATAAAATTCATCCCAATAACATACGAATCCCATAATGAGACAGCCACCTTTTATAAGCCAATGAACCCCAAATATTAATTTAAGAGCCAGGAAAACAATAGAAGACTCTAAAATTCCCTTAAACAAGGTTAAAAATTCAAAAGCACCCATGTGAACGATACCCATGAGCAGTATCCGTAAACGGCACCCATGACTAGTAACTAATGAATGGTAAGAACCAAACAAAAATAAAAACATTAGAAACTAGGTGTTGGAGATTAACCCCACATTATAATTCCTAACAAATTAACCCTCATAAAAAATAACCTATATACTCACATCCATGAAATTAAAAAAATAATAATAATAATAACTAAATTTTTTAATCACCCAACTCTTGATCTCCATCATTCTCCCCTAGTTGGAGAAAACTCACCCTCGAGTTTCGAAATGGATTAACAAGAAATCTAAACACAAGGTCTCTCTCAACCCGAATATTGCGCATTGACATTGGGGCTTGATCATGGGTCATATGGGTTATAGGTCTGAGGATTTTGGTACACCCAGCTATAGTAGCCTGCCTTTGTGGAATGGGATCCTCTAATTGCAAACATGACAGGTCAGCCCCACCATCGGTGAGAGAAAACAGCCCTTTACAGTTGCTGCCTCAAATTGCCTACTCATTTACTTCTTCACCACCGCCATTGTTGCAGTCATTACTATCATTGCGATGATCACCACAATCGCCTGCAACTTGTTCTTCGTCATATATAGGAACTTCCAGTTCTTCGTTTTCATCCAATCGTTCATCAAAAATAAGATTCCCATCAAAGATAAGATCACGTGGTTCTTTATCAAAAATTGGATCACTATCAAAGATAGGACCATCCACCGATTCAAAGAATATTAAATCCAATTGAAGATTGGATCCTTCTTGTTCTCCTTCAAAATTACGCTCACATTGTTGCCATCGCACATCAAACACATCTACATAACTTGAAATGTCATCAGCTCATTCTTAATTAGGCTCAGACTCTGATTCAAGCCAATCCCCATAAAACCTCATGATTTTGAATCTGTCCCTATAGATTCCTCTTCATTTAGGGCACACTATTGCGGGCATCTCTTGTGCAACAGTTGTATAACCCATTTACCCAAAAAAAAAAAAACAGTTGTGCAACCCTTTCCTTCAAGTTGTTCATTTCCTTGTGCAATCAGATCAAATCCGCATCCCTATGGCTAAGACCTCCACGACTAGCCATCCCAATCGCTAACCATCTTCAAACCATGCTCTGATGCCACTTGATGTAGAGAGGAAAGATGGGAAATTAAATCCACCTTTTTCCCGGACCTCATACAAGTAAAAATACCAATAATAGAGAAACATCGTGGCTATAAATCAAGCAATAAAAGAAAAAATTTCTTCTTGCATAAAATAAAATTCATTCCAATAACATAACTACATAAGCATCCCATAATAAGACGTCTCACCTCTTATAAGCCTATATAAAAACCTAAAATTAACTTAAGATCCAAGTAAACAATATAAGACTCTAAAATACCACTTAAACAATATTAAAAAATTCAGAAATACCTATGTGAGCAGTGACCCATGAATAATAACCAGTGAATAGCAAAAATAAAAACAAAAAAATAGAAACTAGGAGTTGGAGATTAACCCCACATTACAATCCCTAAAAGATTAACCCCAATAAAAAAAATGGAACGTACACCCACATCGATGAAATTAAAAAAAAAAAATAAGACTATTTAATCAGCCAGCTCTTGATCTCCAAAAGCTAGCCACTCCATGGGATAATGGAAGGCTAGGTTGCTCTTGAAAGGATCATAAGCACAAGCCTTAGTAGATAACCACATTCCGCATCATGGGAATCAGCCCGATCCATTCCAATAAGAAATGCACCATGATAATTTTATGCACCAAAATCGATAGACATCTTCACAATGCATTCATAAGATTCCTAAGTCAAAGATTAGCTTGTGAAACGGTCATGCTGATTCTCGCTCGCAAAGGAAGTTGCAACTTCAAGTACTCTGACAGTCATAACTAACTCAGCATTTTTTGGAGCTATGTTTGCCATTTTTGCTTCAACTCGTGGGCTTTTGTACAGTGCCCTGTGAGAGCCACCATTTTTTGTACATTTTGCTCCGTGGCCCTATCTTTTGTACAAAGGGCACCGTAACCCCCTCAAAGTGAGACTCTTGTAATACCTTTCAGATGCCTAAGTCCAAGATGGCCTCCTATAGTCGTCAACTTCTCAAAAGAAAAATATAAATAAAAAAAAAGGATACCTAAGTCCAAGACGTCTTCCAATAGACGTCCATTATTTCAATTATAACCACCCAAGCCACATGTGTACCCTATAATGCAGCCAGATACATGAGATTTTCTATGCAAGTAATCTTTTATGTGAAAGATTCAGAAAAGGAAAAGGTTTATATACGGGTGAGGTCCTAAACAAAAATTAAGACGCATCTAAAAAATTCACTAGAAAAGGTTGTTTAGATGCTGAAAAACCCTCAATTCAATCATCTCAACCTCCAGATGTATGTACATGAGAAAAAATAGATATCAAGTCTTGGAAATAGTGCATACTGTAATGTATTATCTAAACCGTTAATTTTCAAGATTTTCACGTGCTCATAGATCTGCTTGATCTACACTATTAATGAATATTTACATTTTATAATTAGAGATGAAAATAAATTTTCAGGCCATCACAAAGATTTCTGATACTAAAACATGTTACGGCACGATTTGAACGTGCGACTTACTTTGATTGATTAGGGCCCCAGCTTCTACAAACCACACCCTTCAAAAATGCGCTATAAAATAATTAGGTTATCTGTTGATCTTTAAAAAATGTCAAAGAACCCCATTACACAGCTCCACAAGTACCACTAAGAAGAACCAACCGCATACTGCTACTTTGTTTTCATTTTGGCGATAGCTTGCCCTGTGACAAGTGCAAGTGTAAAAAAATCAACCATGGAAGAATTCATGATTAATGATACTCCCAGCTGCATCATAAGCCTGTAAAATTTTATCGAAATCAATTGCCATGGCAAGCAAGAAGTGGATGAACCAGATTAAAACCATCTATAGCTACCAATACATTCAGACCCCTGATTCTTGTGAGATGCTCAATTGAATTGAGCATCCAAAGATCTGCAAAAACTCAACAAAAATAAGGTGCAAATCTACGTGCACCCTGTATTTGATTTCAAACGCTGGCAGGAACAAGTTATGTTTCCTTCAGGTCATCGATGCTTAGGTTGCTTCAGCAGGAAAGGCTTGGGCTTGTAAGACTACTTACAGCCCTAATTGGGTCCTGATGTTCCTGCACTCAACCATTCTTATCCTTTAATGAAAAAGTAACATTTAACAGAACAATAACCAAGTAAAAGATAAAGTGGCAACATAGCTTCACCATCAATCGGAGAGGCCTTTAATGAACCACATGATAAAAAAGAATCCTTAGTTTCAATATTGGCATGTGCACTTACTGCCTGGAGAAGTTCCATTTTTGTACTTGACTAAAGTACCAGCATGTCGTGCACATAGCAGGGGCAATGCATAATAACACCACATACATCTCACTGTAACTTAGAAGTCAAAATCTGAGGAGCAACAGTTTCATATTCTGGGGAATGATACCCTTTTCAAGCTAGTTTTGAATCTTCTCTTTAATGGATCATAAAATTAACATTGGTTCCTTTGGAACACATGCACCTCTTTTGGACACAAACTTATTTGCCACGATTCACATAAACTTGCTTTGATCATCATCAGAACATAATTCAAATTGAAACTCACATAACAATTAGCATATAAGACTATAGACCACCAATATATAGATGCTATAGCAAGACTTGGGATTCACATAACAATTACATATAAGACAATAGACCACCAATATATAGATGCTATAGCAAGACTTGGGATTCACATAACAATTACATATAAGACAATAGACCACAAATATATAGATGCTATAGCATGAACTGTAACATCCAAGCATGCGGAACTCTAAATCCTTATGAAGTTAAAGAGTCCATCATCTCATATTTATGCATCATAACAACAAGCTGCAACCATAACAGGTCCTGACATTGTCATGAGCATGCCTAAAGGATTACTACGAAGTTTTCTCTTTTAAAACTGTTACCCGTTGTACTGAAATAAGAAGAAATGCACATGTCAAAAAATAGGCTACCCACAAGCCAGGAGCCCTAAACAAAACCACCGAGTGGGCGAGAGGTGTCAAAAAATGCTTTGATCAGGCTAATGGGCCAGAAATTTTTGGCAAGGATCTTATAAGGAGCTATTGATCAGGCTAATGGGTCTGAAATCCTAAAGTTCTTTGGCACCCTTGACTTTTGGAATGCGAGCAATAAAAGTGGTGTTCATACTTTTACTGACCACCCCTCTGTCATAGAATTCCTGAAAGAAGGAAAGGACGTCAGGGCAAAGGGGTTCCCAAAAATGTTTGAATAGGGCTATGGGGAAGCCGTCCGAGCCAAGGCTCAGGCCCGATCTTGGCAGAGACCTGAAATTGCTTGGGTGATCTCACTTTCATAGAAGGGGCGTTCCAGCCAAAGGGCTTTATCAAGGGGAATGGACTAGAAAGAGAGATTGGCCATTCTTAGCTATGTAACTTTCATTTGAGATATTCATTTAAAGTAACTATCCAATTCTCAAGTATTTAGTAACTTCAAGACCGGCATCATGGATTCCATAAAAGTAGTTGCCCAAGAACTTTTCCATCAAGCATCGCAGGTTTAAAAGAGGCATATTTACTAATGTGTCAAGTTGAAGAAATGAATGCAGCCTCATTCTTTAGGGTGAGGTTTCTATAAGCTGCCTACATCATCCTAGAAGTAAGGCGCAACTCTCAGCATTGCCGGAAGATGTAGGTCCAATGTCTGAAACTTATGATGGCTTGAAAATCCATGTTCAACCTTTATTATGAAATTTAAAATTCCAAAAAAGGTGCATATCAAGCAGATCTATAAACACTCGACAATCTTGAAAATAGACGGTCCAAAATAACTTGTTACAAGATGCACTAACATTAGGACAGGAAATTCCTTCTTCTCTTTTTTCCCGTTTTCTATCCATACATCTCAAAGTCGAGATGATCAATTGGAAAGTTTTCCAACTTTGGATCACTCTTTTCTACTGAGTTTTGAGGTGAACCTTAGTATAAGGTTGCCACCTTATATAAACTTTTTCCTACTTATAATTAACTTTGATTTCTTGAAGAAATGGTCATCTGAGCAAATTGTACATAAGAGGACATTGGAAGACATCCACATACTCAAGCTCATCCTAGAGAGCTTAATCTAAGAATCCACTAATTTGCTGGCCTCCCTTTTCATTCGATGGAAGAAGATATCCAGTAAGCCGGCTATGTTCAATAACCAGTAAAGAACAACGCAGCACTTTGTTATCCAAGGGGGAGTCTAATGGCCCATTTGATCACATCATGGAAGTCCTATTCTAGAATCAAAAGATGCATGCAGACAAAGATACCATGAGATCACAACACGAGGTCAGATCTCAGTTTCTGTAGAATCTGCTATTCCAATGAGATCAACAAAAGCACTCCAAACTTCATAAGATCCCTCCTTGCTAACTACCAACCTCAAAGGAACTCAGACCACCAAAGGAGCAACCACCTGGTCACTTAAGCATCAATTCCACCTTGGGGTGGGATACCTCATTAATTACACTTGTTGGGGCTTCGCAAATTCACCATTCCCACATTAGTTTCCAACCCTCACCCCTGCTAAATCCTGTCTCACTAGACAATGAGGTGCTCAATTTGATGCACTCCTTTGGTGTCACCTACTTGCATTCTAACAAATATTATTCTCTTTCCAAAGGCCCAAAATAGCAGAACAGAGTAATTTGCCATCAAAATAATCACATAGAACATGTATTATGTTCTCAGCAACAGCTTTTATTTCAATCAGTAAGTGCACAGAAATGAAATGTTGAATTCCATTCTGTGTCAATCAAAATATCTTCTTTTATAATCGATGAGATAAACACCAAACAGAATATCAACAATTGATTTCATCACAAAACTAAAATCAACATATTACAAAGTATTACATGGAAAAGACTCACTTGTTTAAGAAGGATATCAAACTTAAAAAACAAGTCCAGTACTACAGATAGTGATCATAGGTAAACGTAGACAAAAAGATTTACATAGAGTACACATCAAAAAAAATATAAGAATTCATCTGCAAAATATTCATACATTATATTCCACTTTATTGCTAGTAATGCAAGAAGATGAAGCAAGACGCGATCAAACAAGCATAGACATATAAAACAAGAATTTTCTAACTATGCAATCAGGACAAGCAGCTTAGGGGAAAAAATAATTACCAAGTTCTTCTTTGATTCCACAGAAGTTGCTGGGGATCTCAGCCTTGCAAAAAGTTCTTGGATAAAAGCATTATCGTCCTTTAATAGAGAGACAACCTACAGCAAATAAAAAGGTTATAAAACTCCCAAGAAATGACAAAATTGGCATGGTGGAGAACCCAGATGCATTACTTACATAAGCATTATTTGAATGAACAATGGAGTTGAGATTTGCAATCGTGGCCTCATCTAATGCTCTAGGTAAAATGACATCCTGAATTTGGCATCAAAAGAAAGTTAGCAGGGCTGCAAAAATCAACGTACCTAGTAATTTTGAAAGTCACAATAACGAATGCCTCTAACCTTTATGTACCCAACTCTATATGTTTGATGAATCTTAGACAAGACAGATGGGTCCTTTATAGGAATAGCCTATCACCACATCAAGCAGTAAGTTAGATCAAGAAGACAATACCTAAGGACTTTCAGCTTAACCAATCATACACTGTCACACCAGACAGCAGGATACAAAATAAATAAGATTAATTTACCCTTACTGTAATAAAGAGAAGGGGGTTACCTCCTTGAAAACTACATGTTCCTTAAGGAAAGCACGGTGGTGTTGGACCTGAGGAACCTCTGGGTCGTCTGTACATAATTGATAATAACACAAAAAAATTTGACCCCATGTCAAAGAAAGATAGGAGATTCCGAAAGATTGCAAAATAACAACACAGTACTGGTATATAGCTAATCAGTCACACTTAAAAGGAAACTAATCAAAAATCATATAATTTCCCAATGTTGGCAAAAGGGATAACTGACATCCAAAATCAGAAATTTGTACATTACGCTCTATGTTGAACACCATTATTTTAGGCCTTCTCTTCCTTTAGAAAACATTGCACAAACAACAGCATTCGGTAATTTGCTATTTGTCGAAGTACGCTTACAAAAAAGGCTCTTGACATGGTAAGATGACTGATATTTCATAGGTACAAATTTTTCATAAAGTCTAGCCCAAAGATATCAGGACCACAACCGAAGACATTTATAGGCTGTTAGTTTCTAAAATAAGAATTGTGACCTACCCACCTCTCATGCAGCACACAGCTACCCAACCGTCATTCAAAAAAAGTACGTGCTTTGCTCTCTTTTTTTCCAAATGATAAATAAAAGCAAAGGTGCTTTTGCAGAATATACGACAGAACAATTTGTACGAAAAAATAAGATATTCATCTGCCATTGAGGACTTGCAAAAATGTTTCTAGCTATTATTGGAGAATCATAGTACTTCATAATATACCAAGAAATTGGAACAATTTTGAGGAAATGCAACTTTGTCTCATTAATAAATGAAAAATCGTAATATACAATATTATTATTCATTAATAAATGAAAATAAGACTTGGCACCCCAATCGTGGAGGGGTTTTTCAGTTAAATACAACAATGTTCTTATAAGAAACTATTACTCCTACCAGTAAAAGACACAATACATACGTCACAAGAAACATTAACCTTGCATTCGTTACTTACATAACAGCATCCCAAGGTACACGATCAAACGTGAGACACATAAAGCATAAGGGGAATAGCACATAATTAAAACCATTGTTTTAAAGTTTTAAGCAGACAACAGCAAGAAATATACAAGGCTTAAAAGGCAAGGAACCTACACTCAAGGGCGCCAATTATATCCATAATGTAATCATCACCAAATATTCTCTCAAAGATTGGAGGGCTGTTGAGTGAAACTGGAAAACAACAGACAAAAAGAGTTTTTTTACAATTATACAACAGTTTGAAACTTAAAAAAAGTGACAAAACTTCATTGTGAAAGTACAAGTTAGAACTCACTGATTCCTTTGACCACTTTATACATCAAACGAAGGCCATCAACATTTTCCAGATCTTCACATACCCTAAACAGGTCCGTCAGCTTAGGAACGAAGGTTCGCTACAAAAGGGAAAAGGAGTGTAGAACCAGTTAGCCAGACAGCTATGGTAAACTACAAGCATAGCAATCAGAGACTCATATATGAATTCAGGAAAGTCTGCAGGGAAAAGAAAGAAAGCTAAAATTAGCCATATATAAGCATCCAAAACACATTAATGAACATTCTATAGGAACAACATTTTTTTCTAAAATGGGCAGAACTCCAGAGTATTTCATCTTTCCCAAGCCATGAAATCAGAACTCTGGACATTTTTCCATGATGAATAAATCAGGACACCTATAATTAAGAAAATAATTGAATCTACGAGCATCACATGAAGCATAGACCAACACTATTAGACAGCAAACAACCAAAACATTGTAAACAAGTTTCACACAGACACCACTTCTACCATCCAAAATACAGGAAAATTGCTTATTACGATGGAAACCGTAGATTTAGAACATTTGCCAAAACCTTGCAAGGATACAGCATGATGGACATACGTAATAAGAGAAATACCACCATTGGCATTCAAATTTGTCGTGATACTCATCATATTCATAATATGATTGAAGCAATCAATGTGCAACAAAACAATCAAATATCAAGTCATAAATTCTATGGTAAAACGATCATTGCCGGTGCTCACACTTAAACTGAATAAGAAACAGGCCAGTAGAATATATAGTGGAACCGATAGAAGTGCTGATAAACCCCACAACTCCATGTAACATTTACACCCAGGAAAAAATCCAGTCTGTCACCCAACTATTCAAGGCAGGTTTGTTATGGGTAAACAAAATTAAGCTCTGCTTACAATCAGAAAATAGCTCTATCTGCATATCATGTTCCTTCCTACTAACACATCTTACCTATGCTCCCCACATGCCCAGTCACCTTCACCACCCCTGCTCAGTTTCTCACTTTCACTTCCAAGTTCCCCTCAACCTCATATTCTTGGAACCTCCTAACCCAATTACATGCCCTTCCAGTATGCTCTCAGCTAAAGAGCATTTTCAATAATTTACAATGACATAACTGGGTACCATCAACCCCCATCCCCAAAGCAGCCCAGATACTCCCACTCCTCTCAACCTTCTCCCCCCAAAGAGGGGTATTGTCTAGAGCACATCCAGCCGCTCAAAGGACCAAGAGTACATAAAAGAGGAAGGTGGGAAAAAAAAGTGATCTTTCCCGAAAAGAAGTCCCACCTGGAATCCAGCAATTAGAGATCACCGATAGGCCACGAGACTCCACACGAAGGATATGTAAAACCAGCCTCTCATAGTTTTCACAACCATAAGAAAGAACGTTCCCCTTCTTTTCATCAACCAAATAATGTAACAAATACCAGAACTGCATCCTCAACCAAAATGACCCACCAGACCTTTAAAAATCCCTGGAAAAGGACAAATTTTCAATTACAATGTCCTCTCACTGAATAGAAGTGGACTGCCATAATAAAATATACTGTGCCACGAACAACTGTCCCATGGAGATCGAATCATGTTTTAATGGAGGCCATCAAAGGTATCGCATCTGGCCCATGTCATATTGTCATGTCCCTTGTAACGCAAATGAGGTGGAAGGTTCTTTGGTGAAAGGAGGAGTGGGGTATTCCTACTCCAGTCTGTTAGTCACTTTATATCCGTCTTGTGGATGGAGATAAAGGTCCCCATCCTTCACTGTTACCAATGAGTTCTTTCTTCTGATGCATCATATACTCGCATTTGATATTGATGAAATTGTTACCATTCCTCAAGGAAACATAAAATATCTACATTCCCTTAAAACCTAATCTCGAAATCTGCACTTATCAATAGAACCCACACTAAAGAGGAGGCAGGAGAGCAACTCCAATTCCAACCCATGCTCCACACCATTTTTCTCTTCTTACTCTCACACATTACAATGACAAATTCCTCTTGCCGCCTATGCTCCGCCGACTCCTTTCCCTTTCTTTCCTTCATTTAAACTGTCCATTTAACCTACCCTAATCCATCACATAACCTGTCAATTATGACACTCACAGTAGTCAATGGTGGTATCACTTGTTCCAATGGTGGCAACACATGGTCCAAGACCCATCAGAAAGATGACGTCAATGGTGGTACCACTCTAGTCAATGGTGGTACCACTTGTTCCAATGGCAGCAACACTTGGTCCAAGACCTATCAGAAAGATGAAGTCTTCATATTCCCCAGATGGTAGGAACTTCAAGTATAGATCCGGAAGTAACTTCAAGTATAGATCCGGAAGTAAGTTCAAGTATAGATATGGAAACCACGACCTTTGGACTCATGATGAGAGGGATTTGGATGTTAGTGGCCACAAAAAGAGAGCCACGTATGTCGAATAACATAGGGAGAAAAAATTTTAGGGACAACATCTAACATTCAAGTAAATGGTCATTACAAAATAGAACAGCACAAAAATGTCTCTCTAAAATTCTACTCCAGGATTGTTGGATTTCAATCCCATATACACTAATCAAATAGCACTGAACAACTGTAAATGATGTGCAATCTTCTCAATTAAACTAGTCCCAGAAACATAGAAGCATAAGAGCAACAGAATTACATGAGAGAACTTATATTTTGTATATTATATCCTCAGTTGTGGTCACAAAAGATCAGCGGCAGCTTACATCTTGTGCAATAAGCTCCGCAACACGTATTTGATCGGTGATGCAACCCTCAGCTACTGACTGCATCATAAACACTGACACTGTTAGTAAAAGACTGGACTACACTCGATATTATCTCTCTATTTTGAGGTATATATGGATAAACTGAACTTGTAAAACTTAAAGCAAATATGAGGAAACCATGCATGCTTCTTGAAGTATTAAACAGGAAATCCCATTATCAATAAATATGTAACAACATACATTGCATGTGTGTGTGTTTAAACACTAGACTTCAAATACCACCTGTCAATCTGCAACAAGAAAACCAACCCTTCTCTATCATTTCCCTACAGGGCTAGAGGAAGATCCATAAACTACTTACCACAATTCTCAATGCACAAAGAGTTTTTCAAAATCCAGTAATGCAGTGACCAGCTTTAGATGTGGCCACTGAAAAGGAAGAAATTACAGGCAGCATAGCTATGATAACAAGAGGAAGACAGCATCCTTGATTGTTAGCAGCCAAGCCTTTCTTGGAGTGAGGCTAAATTTCGAAGCAGCAATTTGTCAGAAACAATACATTCTCAGAGGGTTAAGGTTACATAGAATAATGGCAGTTGAACATACTAAGATGAGCATAATCCTATAGGCACTTGTTCGAGAGGAATTTAAAGGAGTGAGTCTCATGGCTCAACAGAAAGGGAGACTATTGGATAGTGAAGTCCCATGAAAGAATTAGGGACATGTGAATCTGCCCAAAGTGGCTCTTAAAGATTTGTACATAATTTTGAGGGACGTCTTGACAACAGGGTTCAATTGATATAGGAGTCTTATTCAATTCAAGGACCCATCCAAAGCAGTGAAGAGAAGCACAGCAGTACCAAGGTTTAAACCAATGAATAAAAGTCCATTTTCAAAATCAGAAAACTCCTGTGAGTCAATAGAAATAGCCACTGTCCAAGTTCTATAAATAATAAATTTAGGATGTGCATGAGTTTTTCCTTTTACATAACATTTTCCTTTTTTGTTGCTTTGACCGAAAATGGTTTCTTCTGGCTAATAGCATTGCTTGCGCATGATCAATGAACTGGATTCAATTTCAACACATTGTTTTCTTAAATACTTCTCACACAAATTTTTGAAAAACTCAACACGTTTTTCCAAGTATGCCATTTTCGCTAAGCTAGTCACTACGCTGTGGCAGTGACTGAGTCGGCCACCCCCTTTAAGTTTTTAAGCACTGATTCAAACTAAGGCATACCTAATCCTTAAACAGACTGAGCTATCCACTGGATTCTTAACAGTGGAAGGCAGTTCTGTATTTGTTTAACTTTGTCACTTGAGTAAGTCAACTGGGGGACCTGAAGGATTGCTTGTGTTCCAGAGCAATAATAGAGAGAGTGGACATTTCCCTGCCACGTGTTCTCAAAGCAACCCCGATGAGATGGCTGAAGTAACAGTCCCAAATGGAGTTTCCAGAGTGAGTTCCAGCACAAATGCACCTTTCCCATCATTGTGAGCTTCAAATGTTTACTTGCAAGATAACTCCATTTACAAACAAAAAGTTACGGAAAAATTTAACGAATCCCCTTCAAGCTTCAATATAAACCTCATTGCCAACATCAATAGACCCTCAGCAGATCTGTTCTCAAGATAAAAAGAATATTCTTCTTACCCAGTTTCGCAAAAGTAATCTCAACTTTTCAATTTTATATTATAAACTACTGTTTTTTTATTTATTTGTGTGTGTGTGCGGCAATACAATTTTTTTAGCATCAATTGATGATATTGATCAGAACTCCTTCAGCACTGATTCATGAAACCATCTGAAGAAACTACAAATGATCAAACCTAGAGAAAGTGAGAAACAATACATAGAAACTTTAGAAGACCATGGTATTACTGACAAAGTACAGGAGCCTTCTAGTTTCCATGTGAAGGATCGAATTGTGTTTATTTCCCACTACATTCAATGCAGAAGTGACTATTCATCAAAGTTGAAAAGACAAACTTAGCAAAGAAAAGGATGACCGCAATTCAATAATTCAATTAAGAAGCAGAAAAATTCAAAAATCACTAGTAATTTTGAAGAATCAGAAAGCCAGAAACACGAAAGCCAAGGCCACATAAATAAATAAATGAAAGGGGAGAGAGCATGGTTAAAAAGAATAATGGCACCTTTACAAGCAAAGGAAGGGTAGATAGCTCAACAGGAGGAAGCTCCTGCAACTCACCACTAACTCCAGGAAAAGGCTCATCTGGACAAGATACAGACCGAGGTTGCAATTCATCAGTACAGCAATCTAACAGGACTAGTAACATTTCCTCTAAAGAAAAAGCATGCACAAAGGAATTTACATCACACACAGATTCAAAGGGCAAACATCATGCAAATTATTTATAGAGTAATCAAACTCATGAATCAATGGATCATAAAAGTACATTTTTATCAATCAAATGGCTACTTATCACCTAAATGATTACCAAAGATGTGTTATGGAAACATAATAGCAAAAAACAATTATATTTTATGCACCCTTGTCTAGGAAATCATTTACCACCTAGCTGGCCTACACCCAAAATAGACTACATCGGCAATCAGAACACCTCAAACTATTTTTTATTTCAGAAAGAGGACCCAATGTACCACCAGGTGGCAAGCACTAGTAAGTATCTCTCTCAGTCTATAACCAATATACCAACACAAACGAAGAAATTGTTTATCATTGAGTGGGTTATGCTCAATACTTTCTCTTGCATATTGCAGGCCCATTGTAGAGCAAGACAAGCACAAAACACACAAACGATGTCAACAGTTTCCTACTCAACTAAGAACTAAGGGATTCGATTGTGAGTGTACCAGGGCTCAACTAACATCGTCTACACACCCCATTCATTCTAGGCCAAATGACCCATGCGTATAACATGCCAAAGTCCTCCAAGTATAAACCGCAAAACTATCTAGGTAGTTAATGTGCTACATATGGCAATACTAGACACCAAACACAACCAGCTGCCCTCCCTCTCTTGGGGTTGGTTGGAAAGTTCGTGTGTTGTTAACATCGTAGACCCTTTTTACAATTATGGATTCCAAGCAGTTATTCCACATTTCAAGATAATAATTACATAACAGTTAGTTAAATTTCAATCTTTTAGAATGTTTTATCTTTGAGAACTGCTTTCTGCTTCACAAGTTCCATGATGTGCAGTGTAGATGTGTTTTGTCACATATTGTTAAACAGCATAGAACCATCACATTTTCAAAAGTTTCTCCAACAGCTCTGGGGTGTGACCAAATGCACCAATAAGACCCACCACACCAAATTCATGATTAATCAATGTGCTAGCGATGTTGTTACTAAAAGTAAAATCTAGGAAAAGATCACCCTGAGACGATATTTGTAGCTGTTTCTGGAAGCCGTGGTTCTTCAAATACGTCATTACAGAACCCCACTTCCCCATGAGTGAAAGGACGTTCCATAGCAAGGAGAAAAGCAAATCCGACCTCAGAAGAATAACAGTTCCTCCGAGACCAAACACAATTTCAACAAACCAAAGCGTGGTTATTGCACACTCCTGTTCCCAAACAAGGAACCACAACTGCAGAGGGAGGGCTACGCAAGTCACAGCCTCTCAGGCTTCCCACATGAACCATTGCATAGTGAATCCAAACTGATTCAGAGACCAAGACTAAACCATGAAATCTTTTAAAGAAAGAGCGTTGAACATATGAATTCGACTGAAAAGAAGTTATGCCAGCAACTAAATTTCTCTATCTATGAAGATTGTAATTCTAAGAACATCAAGCAACTTCTTCTAATAAAAAGAAAACCCAGAGACCAGAACAATTAATTCCTGCCTCAAACATACAGCCCCAAACTGGGAGAATCTACTGTAATTGACAACAAAATGTCTACACAAACCATTAGCATGTGATGCCCCAGCACTCTCCAAATTATCATTTGCCGGACGCAGAGGCATCTCCAGACCTAAAGAAGAAAAGAAATTGTTTGCAAACATCTGACAACAGCTAAAAGTCTGCATAAAATACAATTTCAGAACCAAGTATAGCAAAATCAAGAAAATGGGCACTTACTGCTGATAGAATTAAAATGCATATTCCTCTGCACACTACAGATGTGGTCCCTGACAACAAAAATAAATATATTTTTTGATAAAACAGACAGAAAGAAGAATTAAAAGCAAGATGGATTATGCTAGCAAATGCTACACAGGGAAAGGACCTATCAGCACAAGAAAGATGAAAATCACCATATATATGAGCATCCCATACTCTCTTGAAAACTCAAAGCTAACTCTGTGGAAAGTTCTCGCCATGAAATGATTGTGTCTGAAAATTTCTAAGTGTTAAAGCAAGCAGGCTAAAGGTATCAAAAAGGTCAAGAATAGTCAAATATCATGCAATTCAAAAAGTAACTTAAAAAACAGAATGGCCCCAGAGTGCTAAGTACCTTCCTGCCTGCGATAGATCTCCTCTGAAGAAATACGGTGCACAAGGATATTTCCATCATCTTCTTCATCAATGACAAACAAAGCAAGATCTTCCGAACCCTATAAATCAGAACTTACTAGTAACATATCAAATGTCCTAATATGAGATGGGAATAATGCCAGTGCCAACATAAGAATGAAAGCGAACAACTGATCTAACACAAAATAAAATATGTGCTGCACCATTTAAACAACAAATAGAAAAGATAGATAGTAACAGGAGTGGTCTTTAACTGATTTAAGTTGCAAACTACTTCTAGCAATCACTGCAGGCAGGAGGGATGTACCTAGCATCACTCAATTGTATAGAGACAAAGGGATTAAAGGGGGCAACCCTCAAAAGGTTCATCACATGCGAGAAAAACAAGCCCAGATAATAGAGCACGGAACTAATACTCTTATTTACTGCAACTGAAAAAATTCATGATCGGAACTTGAGTTGTCCATGAAAAATCTCTCTACGAGTTATAATAACATAATATCTACAATAAATAAGTAAACTTGAAACTAAGAGAGCGGTTTTATTTTCAACCTAATGGGAGAACAGTTAGGAAGGGAAAGAAGTTGCAAACACAAACCTCCAAATAATCAACAGTAACATGTCCAGTTCCCTGATCATCCCATTTCCCTTCGTTGTTCAATCGATACACTTTGACACGCTGGCAAACATGAAAATGGTTAAACAAATTATGTCGAGTTAATCATTCCTTCAATGTCACAATAAAATACGCAGGGAAGTCTCTGAACATTTTACTTCTTCTTCTTCTTGTGTTTTTTTAATTACTTTTTGGATCAAAGAAATCTGGGCATGGTTCAAAAAATGCATAATTCGAAAATAACGAGACAATAACAATAACATTAAATAGGTCCTCTGTAAATGAACAGAATATGTTTTTTTTTAGAGACAACAGAATATGTTTGCAATTAGAATTACCAAGTATGGTAGTACACCAAGCATCAGTGTTACAATTCTTGTAGCACTGAAATTACAACCAAAGATGAGACCAAATGAAGATATCTCATAATTTAAATTACAAAACGTTAACTCTTAAATGATTTTGTGTTTGTATTGAGGAAACAAAATTAATAAGGCCGCAACCTTATCCATAGAAATAAGGTTGCACTGATCTGCACTATCCATTTTAGATTGGACACTATCTTAAAAGACATGCCATGTATTTACATTGTGTTAAAAGATGTGTCAAATCTATACCATCCAAATAAAATGGACGGTGTAGAGTATCCGAACCTCATTTCTACAAATAAGGTTGCAACTTTATACAAACCACACAAAAGAAATGTAGTAATAAATATGCACAAATAATCTTAAATTATAGTATTTAAGTGAACAGAAATTCAACTGCAATTCTATAAAATATCCAATTCTGCAACACCAAATATTGTAAATCATACTCCAATAAAATAAGAAATTTCATTAGATGCAAAAGAGAACATTGCGATGGACAAAAAAAAAGAAAAAAGGGAAAACAGGCACCTAACCGTGTACACTTCTACCTACACCCAGCAATCATGCACTATGTCCTGACTTTTTCAGTGAGAAGCTATGTTTGCTGCTAAGTGTCTACCACCCCAAAGTAAAGCATGGACAAAATCCAGAAGCAATGAAACCAAGACCAATTCCAATAGTCAGGCCTTGTTGCTACATTAAATGCTCCCTGAGAGACCATAAAGAATGTTGCTGATATGCGAGTGTACCACCAAAAGCAAAAAACCAATTTGCAATAACAAGAATGTGTCACTGTCAAATTGTATTGAAGGCCCATAATGCCCTTTTTTCCAAAATATGTGTTGAAGTCCATGCCCTAGACAATGAAACCCAGTATAGTAGCATACTTCCTCGACGAAAAGGAAAGATACGCTCTACACAAAACAGCTCTAGGAAGGATTCCAAAAATTGCTTGGTCCGAATCATCAGTTCGAACCGGAACTAGTTCTTGGTTTCTTTTTTTTCTTTTTCTTTTTTTTGTTTGGTTGGTTAGGGGGTGGCAATCTCATGGGTCTAGGAACGCCTATCTCTCCCCGATTCTCAATTTTTTGTTAATAAAATAAATCATTCAGTCTGTACTTCTATCCAAAACACCGAACTGGTCCAATTCACCAATCCAAACCAGTCCAGCAGGTGACCAGTTCAGAAATTGGATCCAGGTTTTAAACAATGTTTCTAAGCAATACCAAAACCAGCATGCAAAAATAAGTCCTATTTATAAAAAATAATAACATTATTGATAATCAAATAGAACAGGAGATTTGCAATCCAAAATTGCACAAGCACGTTAAGTTCCAATTATTCTCTAGAGATTCACAACCTAGCTAGGGAACTAGCCTTCGCATTGACTCATATGTTGAAAGGTTGAAAATACTCCATATTACTTGACACTCCTAACTTTCTCAAGCAAACCCTCCTCCTTACGGACTAGGATTTCTCCCCTCAAAGAGCCCTCCATTAGGAGATAATGATGAATCTCCAAACATCCTCTCTCCTTGATGCAGGATGTGAGTCACTTCACTAGAGAAGTGCATCTAGAAAGGTGGTCAGCACCCTTGAGGACTATAAATCCCACCAACATCGCCAACCTCCATGTAATGAAGGAACCCCTAAAGACCAGCCAAAATTACATTGGCAGTGAGGGGGTAGAGCCTCCTAATCCAATGTTGCAAAATCAACCCATCCTGTCTTAAAGAAACCTCTTGAACAACAAACAACCTCTTCTTACCTACTCTATTCTTAATCCAACATCAACACCAGCCTATATGATAAACGACAACCACCACAAAACAAGGCAGCAGCCTCACAGCAACCTTAAATAGGCCATCACATCTACCAAATCACCATGCTATACCTTGAAGACAAAATAACAAACACAGGTCCACAGCTACACAATACAGCTCATGGAGCTCTCCCTCCTTCACACTCCCTCTAGAATAAACGATACTCAAGCTAAATAAACGATACTCGAGCTACTTCCATACTTCTTCATGAGACAATAAAATGTTCAAAGGACTTGAAGAATTTTACAAACCCAAGGTATGGGAGCTAGCAAAGGAAGCTAAGCAAGATATCAAGCTACTTAGTTTCTGTGTCAAGAGATTTGAACACTCAAGTTTTGTAAGTTTCAAGCCCGAAACTCTCTCACCAGTCAGAGCCTTGTGTGATTGAATGTGAGGAACTAGAGCTGTGGTCAATTATGTGTGCAAGAAAGAAATACAAAGGGATTCTCAACCTGGCATGAGGATTTTAGCCACACGAATCCTATTTGCAACCAATCGCCCAGGATAATAGTGTAATTACTCAGATAGTAACAGTCAACTGTTTGGTCTGGTTGTGCTGGCTGTAAAGGTAAAAATATGTGAAGACATTCTCTGCAAGTGTGACAGCATCCATTATTAACAAATCTAAAAAAAATAGTTTTGGTTCCTATATGCAAGCTAATTTTCCCATTCTGATGAAATTAACAGGCAAACAACAAGCATATTCCTTTTTGGATGACTCAGAGCATAAATCATTTGTCATCATGATTATAATTATGTATGAAACGTAGTTTAATTGATGCAAGATCCAACTAAATGTTATTGAACATTTATAATTTCAATGAAACATAGAGTCCAGAATGTGGGGCTTCCATAAATAAATGTTTCCTAATTTACCACCAGTTTTTCAACCATCTTCACAGGATACCATTCACAAGGACCTAAATTCAACCCCCGCTCAAGAATTGCCGACCCATGAAAGAAAGTGAGCTCCTTCACAATACCATTTTCAATTTTTCTTGTGTTCAAAATACAAAGTGGGAAAAAATGTTAATGGGCAACCTCACGATGTGTTGAAGAAACAACCAACAGGAAATGCAAGAAACAAGTGGCTCGGTGGACACTGATGAAATAAGAAACAGAAAATAAATTTGACACATACTGTTGCCTATGACTATAATACAATCAACGTAAAAACAAAATTGATAGTGCACAAGAAAGCAATACGAAGACTTTGACACAACTATATAGACCAACCAACTATATCATCAAATACTCAAGATGAATAACAAATCAGAAACAAGCTTTTTTATTTTTTAAACGATAAGAACCCAAACAACAGAGAGTGGCAAATAAAAAATTGAATTGAAACCCCAAAATGATACCATGGTTCTCAGCGAACGGTAAAAAAATGAAATATAACAAGATAATAAACAAAAAAAATAGTGAAATGTTCATGAATTGATATAGTAAGTCCCCGAAGAACTCCCACTTTCTTTCCCAGTAAACTATATTTGCATAGATAATCTGAATAAAATTTAGTAGTAAAGACTCAAAGCGCTTCTTCTCACAAAACACATAAAGGACAATTGATTCTAGGGTTTTGATAATCACAGAGAGTTTAAGGAGCACAAACCTGCATAGAATTACCAGAAGCAACGCTCTTCCCCTGAGGCCCCATTCTCGGAGCCACTGTATTCAATAATCAGGGACAAATGCCCACCATACAAGTGAATTAGAGAGGAAGAAAAATACCCTAAATTGGGACAGATAAGAACAGGGTGCTGTAAAACCAGTAGGGATCAGGAGAGAGAAAGAGACTAAATATGAAAAACCCTAACTGCCATGAACGATGCAGAAACCCTCCTCTCTCTCCTCTCTCATTCCCCTCTTTTTCCTGCCCCGCTTTGCGCCCGCCCTGAGAACGAAGATATAATATAAGGTTATAAAACATTCCGAAATTAACCCTTTCTTGTTTGTTAAATTTCGTTAAAGTATTCCTCGCTCTTTTCTTCTCACTATTCCCCCGTTTTTCTCTCGTATCATCTGTTCCCCTTCAAAGCGCGGGGACTAAAACCGGACATGGGCAATTTGGTAATCTATCACCACGAGGGACAATTCGGAGAATATTGAACGTATAAAATCGATGGGGAAAAAGGTTTGGGGCGGTGAAAAGAGTTGCGAAAGGAGGATGGGTTATTGACCGTACTATGCGTGTACACGTGTCCTCGTGACAGCTGATTCGATGAAACTCGTGTTTTGTTTTCCAAATTTCAATTGCTTCTTCATCTTAGTAACTTTCTCTCTCCTCTCACTAATAACTTTCTCCCTCCTCTGTTTCAGTTGTGTGGTGTTATTGACTTATCCCTTGTCTTAAAAAATTTTAATTAAAATGATACGTAACCATTTTTTTCTAGTCAGACTGATTGTATTTTTATTAATTCAACTAATTAATCAAAGGCTCATACATAATATGGTATTTGTCAATAAGTGCGAGTTAGTTCAAGTATAAAACTTAAAAATGACAAAGAGTAGGTCCAAAATGACATAGGTGAAAATAATTATCAAAAATATTGATACTTATTGCCACAATGAGAGTATTACCCTTGATAAATCACAATGATGGATCAAGATTTGTGTAGCCTACTGTGAATAATTGGAAAAATACAGTGATGTTGATGATGGACTCATTGATCAAAGTTAAGCAAATTTTTAACCGTATTCAAATTTTTATCTATTGTTTATATGTTTTTTAATAGTCACATTTAACTAGTTGGATGGGCGGCGGTGTAATAAATTTAAGTAAACCAAGGATTATAATAACATTGCTCTCTAATCTCTAAAGCCCATTTCACATAGACTAAACCTCGTGTGTCACCTCTTCCTTTGCTCTTTGAAGAAAAGAAGGATCGATCAACTTTATATATTGTTCAATTCATTTTCATCATCGGTGGTCATTGGACAATAAGCTGGACAGTGTACTATGGTGCTAACATGCTACAGGCATAAGCATAACCATTTTCCATAAATGGATGGTAGCAAGAGATAGCTATGCAATTACTGTCCAGCTCCACCAGGGAATGAAGACATTGATGCAATGAAGCCTAAATACATAGCATCACGACATTTGTTTTCAGAAACGGGTGAGACTAGACGATAACGATTAGGCGATAAAAACCCTAGTAATGGAATGCCAAAACAAAAGAAAGTGCTCTGTCAAGCCATTAACACTGCATGCCAAAAGCTAAAAGGATATATCTTAAATAATTATGGAGTCACTAACTCCCAAATCGAAAGGTTAAAAATTGCGATGACCAACTAGGGAAAGAATCCGAGGCTCTTACAGGCCATGTTAGTATGGCCAGTGCAATTTGACAACGTCCCTTTTGAAAATCTACATCAGAAAGTGGAAAATAGCAGAAGTTAGTGGAAGAGGTTTGATATACAAGGACTGATTTTGAAAATAGCAATTCGTTTTACCTTAAAGGGAAATAACTGCAAGTGAGATACCCCAGCATGTCTTTTATTTGTTGGGGAGCTGTCTAGGTTAAAAGCATGAGTGCCTCCCTTTTGAGGCATGGGCTTCAACCGAAAAAAGTCACAATGACTTGAACTTTGGAGCAGCCTATATATGGTGCTGGTAGTTCCTGGTCATGTTCACGTGCATGATAAAATGGAAAAACATGCATCCACTTTGAACACTTTATAGATGAACTGCTACATATTTTTATTTGTTTTTATTTAATCTTTAAAAACACATTAATATAAACATGTTCATGAGTTTGAATAGTTGATGACGGGTAAAATGTTAAATAGTTATTCGAGTTGTACTATATAAAACAAAAAAAAAATTATTAGAGTTTCAAAACTACATCACCACACAAAATTTCGAGAGGCGCCTTATGCAAACCTCGCCTTACCTAAAATCATGAATAATTTTAGCATTAAGTGGCCCCGCCCATTTAATTCAAATTAATACCTTTTTTAACAAATTATTTTGATCGTCCTGTGCCCAGTTTTGGGTGTTGCAGGAATAAGCATGGATGCAAATAGGGTTGTCAAGGGCGAGGTTTGGGCTAGACTCGACCATGCTCGAAGCCAATGTAATGTATGCCCAACCCGGCCCGGGCAAAAATCTTGCGTACCAAGCCTTTTTATAAGTGCATAAATTAAAAATTATTTTTAAAAAAAATTATGATTTTTTTTGGGTAAGGCCTGGCCCTATTCGGGTTAGTATGGGCTTGCTTAAAGATACGCTTGGCCTATCAAACCCCAAACCAAACCCGTCCCGAACTAGCCCATCTCGGCTCATTAACACCCCCAACTGTTGTTTTTTTCTATTAAAAAAAGAAAAACACTCGCACTTCGTAGTTTTTGACAAGGTAGGGGGTTCTACAATGCAAACTTACCAATTTCGTTCCCATCTTTCTTAAGTTAAACATTCAAAATAAATGGTATTGCTATATTTTTGTGTCCAAAAAGCACCAAAATAAATGGTATTGCTATATTTTTGTGTCCAAAAAGCACCAAAATATTTATATACAAAAATCACGACTGTGGTCCACGTGATAGAGGGTACGGTTGGTATGCGTACAAATATTTTTGAAATAGTATTTTCACAAGAAAAAACTTCGCCACGTAATTAGCACATTTGGTTATTGTGAAAAATTCCAACATGTAGTTAGATGTGAAAATATTTTCACACCAATTAGTTATCAATTGGTGTGAAAATATGCATTGGGACCAGTGTCGGAAAAATCAAAACCATATATAGGGCCGAAACCGGGCAAGTCCTGAGCGGTTAGAAAAATGTCTAAAAAAATACAAAAAATATAAAAATTATGATTAAACAAAGCACATCCAAAATGAATATGAAAATTAATGAAAAAAAATGGATTTTAAAGAAACGATCGGTCCTAAAGGTATTTTTTAAATTTACCAAATAAGATGGGAAAATATAAAAAAATAAGTATTAATGGCCAAAGCAATTTTCAATATTTGCCAAAATGATGAAAAATCTTAAAAAATACATTAAACAAATCTCTTATTTTTTGAGATTTAAAATAAATCAAATTTTTAAAAATACCTGGCCAGTTCGGATTAACCGAGCGGTTAGAATTCTAATTGACCTATTTTTCCTATGCAGGCTTGGACCGATTGTGTGAAAATATTTCAACACCTAGCCACACAAGGGAATTATTTTAATGTGAATATATTTCATATAAAACATTTTCATACAAAACAAACATGCCCTAGGTGTCACACCAATTAGTGTGAAATAACGTATCGGGAACGATGTGAAAAAAACCTCAAACCTAATCACATAAGAGATTTCTTTTATGTAAAAATACATTCACATAAATATTTTTACTTGTACCAAACATGTCGTTACACGTTGCAATTCTCTACTATGATCCCCACCATCTAAAGAGGGAGATGGTCGATGGCTATAAGAATGTTGGTCTTCATGGAGCTCCATCCCACATTCAACTTGCGTGGCGAGGATCCAATTGTGGAGACCACGAGTTTTGTAAATGGCAATGCTTTAAAATCTGATCGGGATCTCTCACAGACCGATCCAAATTGCTAATCAGGGTTGGAGTGGAGTAATTTTCCGGTACGTGAATTGGAATGTAAAAAAAAAAAAGGTCTAATTAAAATTGGATAAATAAAAACTTTAAAAACAATAAAAATGAATTTTGATTGGAATTAGACGATTCAGTAAAAATTCTGATTGCCCGATATAATCATCCAATTTTTTGACAAAATCGGGCAAATGCATTGAAATCATATTAATTCCCAATTCCAATAAAAACCAGATCAATTCCAAATCAGATCAATAAGTTTTTAAACGCTCGGAAACATTGTCGGACCATGAAGTGAAGTGTCCATAAATATAAAATTAGCTGCATGAAATACAAAAGAAAGAAAAACAATAGTAAAAAAATACGCCAATGATATTTATCCCAACTTAAGTGATTAAAGCAAAACTTATCATGTGAGTTTGAGATAAAGAGGGTCGTACCAATTATTATTTAAAGTAATTAGCTTCACATCACGAGAACAATATACCAATTTTTTGACTTTCACAAGAGTCAAACTTTATGATACACGTGCCCTAGACCTCTATTTTCATCGTTCATTACGTGACTTTTCTTTTTCGAATATTAAAGCTTGCAATAAAGTGTCTCCTATCAATTATTATTTAAAGTAGGAAAATGTTTTGATAGGGCTCCAGCCCTATCCCTTGATTTGGGCTGCAACCCTAGAGGCCTGTCATATGGATGAGGTCTTTAGAAGGCCTAGGTATTATGAAAACAAAATGGAGCTTCATTTTAAATCTTTGTCCAAAAAGCACTTTCTGGCAATGGAAAATTCATGATGACTCTAAAATCAATTTTCAACACTCATAATGAAATTGTAAACTCAATAAATAATATAGATCTTACGAATCTATAAACACTTATTTTTAAGGCGAAATAAATAATGTAGATTTTTTTTTTGGTTAAGTAAATGGTGTAGATAATTTGTTACAGTATACATTATTTTTAGAGCTTGAAATTATTTTTATTTTCACATCCATAATATTCAAGCCAAAATGATTGATGTAAAGGTTTTCTATTGCTTGAATTTTAATTTTTTTATGAGTGATAAGGCGAGGCTTTACTAATTTTGAAACAGCGTCACATCATTTACCATTTTCAAATTTTAAGTGCTACTAAAAAATTAATTTGTTTGCTATGTTAAATGCTCCGATAACTCTTAACATTCAAAATAAAAAAATAAATAAATGCTACGTTGCCATATAAATTAAATGAGTCACGCGCTGCATAACCCACGACTCGCTTTGATTTCAATAGAGTGAAAAGATTTGTTGCTCTCGTGGGAGTATATTGTGCATTTGCTCCATTGGGGTAAAACTC